TCCAGCAGGCACCGTCTTGTCTTTCTCACCACGTGGTCTTTGCTTGCAGGCAAGGGCATGAGAGCTGTATGCCTTTCCCATTTTTTTTTCCCCTTTAAATTAAGTACAATTCTCAAAATGATTAAAATTAAAATGTCGTCGTCTAGGAAGCCATGCTGCTTAGTGTCTTGGTAACAGAACCGAAAACTGGGCCGTACTCTGAAAGGAACAAAGTGAGCAGAGATGCTGAGCGCTGTAGGCAGGGGAGCACGCTTATCACCCAGAAGCGCTTGTGAAGACCAGACTCAGAACACACAGAAAACCCCGGACTTTGATTCTGGAGATTACAAATCAACATCAGTCTGTGCACGTTCTCCAACCTTGAGGCTGACGTACAGTGGGTGCACAGCCATCCTGAAACAAGCTCAGTGAATGAATGATGCCCATGTCAGCGGTTAGAAGACTAACACTACTGTCTAGAGGAAGGAATTATTAGTATAGCTTGCCTTACAGCACCAGAACAGAGGCTGTAATATTTAATTCTGTGTTCAGTATGAATTCATTTTCTCTGTAAGTCTGACAATTTGATGAAAGAAACCAGCCTCAATTAACTGTGTTTTCACACACAATTCAGAGCTTCAAAAGAGAAACATTTCTACTACCTAAGAAGTTTTATATAAGAAAGTAGTAACTCTGGAGAGATTGTGAAAGTGAAAGTGGAAACTTAAAAAAACCCTCCACCACACCTGGCAGTTGGTTAACTGGTTCTGCAGCAGCAAGGCAGTCACATTTCCAAAACACTAAAGGTGACTGCCACTGTGCTGTCCTGTTATATTCTATTCAGTATATACTCGGCTGAATGGAACAGTTCATAAAATACAACCTTAAAAAGCCATCTGTTTGTAGTTTAAACCAACATCTGCTAATCTGCATAATTCATTTCCTTTTTTATAATTAGAATAATAAGGGCGTTTATCTCCTAGGTATAGTGTTGAAACCAACAAATGTGTTCCCCAGTAGGGAACACGGATTATGAATTTCAACATTCCTGACTTCGTGAGTCCTAAAGGGTGAGACAGCTTAGTTACTTGCACCAGCTTGCAAGAGCTACTTCCCAACTCCTGACGGTCTCCAAGTTGGTAGCTTCAAACTGCCCGTGCTAAAGCATTTATACCACAGCCAAACACTAAAATCAAATCCACACAGTGCTTTCACCACAGTAAAAGCTGAGTTCATAGGTGGTGATGCAGGTATGGAGCGCTTCCATCAAACTTTCAAACTGTCACAAAACTCCCAAGTGTAGGTACGCTCTAGAGAGTCTTAAGATACACCCCTTTTTGGGTATGAGGCAAATGCAAGAACTGAACAATTTTAGGTAACATTTTATCAGTGCAGTTAATCAAGAGAGTCACAAAATGTACAAATAAAAATCAGACACTTCTTTTTTTTTTTTGCAGAAGTGGGGATTGAACTCAGGCCTTTGTGCTTGCCAGGCAAGTGCTTATTCTACTGAGTTATCTCCCCGGCCCCAAAACTCAAACACTTCTAAGCTTAACAGTTTAAGTTATGTTCTGAAGTTTAAGAATAAATAAAGTTGGAAAGCGACCATTATGCAAACTGTCTCACACTTATTGTCATCCTGATGCCACACTGACCGTAAGCAGGTATTCCTTGGCAGAATGTTGGCATTGCCCTGTAAGAGTTTCAGATTTAAAAGGCTTGCCAACACTTTACATGCATCTAACCGAGAGAAAATAGCTTCCACAACGTAAGCCATATGGAGTAGAAGAAGTAACACTCTTCTGAGTTAAGATCTGGGGACTGCCTCCAGAACAATGTTAAGAATCTGGGGCACTACATAAAAAAACATTCCTCACCTCAGCTTCCAACAGATTCGCTTTACCAGTCAGAAAACACTGTTCAATTTTATAAGGATTTGGTATGGCATTAAATGGCATGAAAATTTGCTGAAAAAAAAAAAAAAATCCACGCTTGTACAAAATCTAGGAGCTGGACCAAGGGTGAAGTGTAAGTCAGAGAAAAAAGGAGCTGAGCTCTGTGAAGTACTTCGCTTGTACGCATCGAAAGACACTCACCTTCAGGTTATGGAGGGTTTCTGACCATTCCATGGATCCTATCTGGGGTATGGTAGTGAGAAGTAAACTTTTAGCTTTATTAGCATTTTCTTTGAGGGTCTTTAAAACCCGATCAACTGAAACCTAAAGAAATGAGAGCACAGATTATTATTAGAATTTAAAAG